TAATACTAATCTGCATTCACCTTGGGGTTAGCCTTTTATTTTATAACTTTTCAGGCTGATTTATGTTTTGATGATCAAGCTCTAAAATATACAAATGGCCCCAAATCTTTAAATATAGTGGTGCTAAGTTATACCAGATACCACAATACAGAAAGTGCTGATACGAATTAATACTTAGTAATTCTTCCTGCTAAATTTTACATGTGTATCACTGCCTGATTAGAAACCCCACTTTTCTTTTTTAATCCAGCACAAAATCAAACTGATTCTACAACCAGTCTTTTTAAAAGGAAAAATGACCCAACACCTTTGTTTTGTATGGGAAAATTTTTTTTTTTTAACATTAACGACAAAAGTGCTTAACAAAAGGTTTATTCAGGACAACTAAGCATGAACTCCTTTTTTAACTTGCTAGAAGACTTGCCTCTCCAAACTAGCATCCCCAAAAGGCAACTTCTGGGTGTTCTATGTAAACATAGCAGAAACTGGGTGTTCTATGTAAACATAGCAGTTTATATGTTAGCCAGTGTAGGTCTGCACTAGTGTTTCCCATATACGCCACCTTTGACAGATGATGTCCATCTACAGAGAGTGGAAGCCATCCCATGGAGAAGTGTTGATAGCAGCATGGTGTCACCTTTGGTAATCAATCATGTGTATATACTTAGACTCGCAGCATTTTACCATTTCTCTGCTACTCTGCACTTCAGGTTCTTAAGCTATTTTTAAAATTACTGGAGTTTGGCAAACACCAACTGAAATGTATATGGCAACTGCTTTCCCGAACAAGCGTGATTTATTTTATGGCTGTTCAAGTTATGAAATTGTTCTCACATTGTAGGTAACCAAAATCTTGCTGTTTTTAAATGTCACTATAACTTGAGGTACAAATTTCTGGCACATTTTATTAGTATTCAATTCTGAAGCTAATGAGATACCATGGTTTTCTATGTTACTCTCATTGTAACATCAATAAAGTGACTTTCAATAAAAGATTTATGTTATTTTGACACACAGCTCTCTTTTCTCCCAGCTGGTTTCTCTTTCAAGAGCTTTGTGCAGGTACTGTTCAGGGGTTCTTTCTTTTCTGTTGCACATTGCCCCAGAAGGGACCATTAACATGATGAGAAATACAAACCCTTTAATAAAAAGTCTGAGTGCTCAAATTGTTGGAGTTTCCTCACTCACCTGCCTCACTTCATAAACACTTTCCTACACTAAGGAGGATCAATTTCCTATATCCTGTACTATAGCTCAGGCAATGGTGCTTGCTTAATAAGCTCACCTGTACTGGATTCTAAAGCACTGAACTCAGGATGGGTTCATTTTAGGTTCATGAGTTCACTGCCTAAAACAAGCTCCACCTGGGCTTTTTCATCTTCTCCCAAATAGCCATCTAACCCACCCCATTATCCTCGCATTTGCAGCTTCCATGCCTTGAGCTCATGGTCTGCAGAGGAAAAGAGTAGTTGTAAGTAGTCAGGGTAATATTTTAATGTGAGAAAAAGAGAAGGAAGTCATTGACAGAGGGTTTGCACATTTATTGTGAGATTCAGTAAGTTTATAGAGATTACAAATAGCTCCATTTCTTTTACTTATAATATTTTAGGCATATAATTTGTTGAGATGAAAACAGAAATAGTAACATGCAGTTGAGCCAAAGCAAAGTCAAGTTCAGAGATAGCAGAGTTGTAGCTCATGTCATCTCATGGAATGATGGTGCCACCTGGAACATCATGGGGAAGGAGAGTCTAAATTCCAATTTGGCTCAATAGGAGTGAGAGTTTTAATTTAATATGACTGCAGTGATGCAAATCTATGCCACCTGTCTCCAGAAAGCACCAGGCCTCTGGCAGCTGCATTCCTATGGAAGTGCATGAAATGTTTATAAGTACTTTATAAATCATAAATCTCTTGAAGCACAAAAGCACACAACCCCAGAAAAAAATTATATCTCAACTTGTGGTCATTTGAAGAACTCAATTCTTCAAATAACTGACATATTCAAGTTTGAGCTCACAGCTTGGAGCATGCGCCAACAACATACTTTAAGAAAAAAATAATAGTTTTAAAGTAGTGGGTAAGGCTGCCCTGGAAATATACAAAGAATGAGAAGTCAACAAAAAATAAAATAAGGCAACAGGAGATTCACTTGTAATGAAGACTTTGGCTGTAATTAAAGAAAGTGGACAGATATATCAAATTTGTCAAGGGGAAGGGACACACTGAACATTCCACGCTTTTAGAAAGAACTGGTGAAAGAAGTTGAGATAAGGAGACTTGTTTTGAGGTATCAGTAAGTAAAACTGAGTTAATTGAAAGATTCCAGAGGCCTGGTTTTCATGGTTGTGATACTTTAGCTTTTACCTAAAAACAAATTGAGAACCCTGATCAAAGCAACAGAAGTTTCAAATGTGGACAAACTTTGGGTCAACCAGGGTCTTTTCCCTACCACTTTTCTCACCTAGGAAATTACCATTTCCTTAAACTATGATTTCCCCAGAGGATCCTGGTGAGTTTAAACCAAACAGCAGGTATGGAGACTCTGAAGGTGAGCTCTCTGTCTCCCGGTCCTCTGAGCCCCTTCTGGCCCTTTTCTCGACAGCCCAGGCTCAAGCAAAGCTTTGTGGCCTCATCAGGCAATATTTGGGGATGAAACCTAGATTTGCTGTGTAATATACAGTGGGCTGCTTCACATTCTTCACCTGGGCATAACTACTTGACATAATTACATAATTATACGTTAGGGTTAAATAAATAATAAATGGATATATTTTAGTAATATTTGAAAAAATCATTGTATTAGTGAAATGTGGCTAAAGATGCTTAGAAAAGTGTTTATTTTCATTGGGTGACAACTAAGTGTTCACCTGAATGGTAACTCTCACATTGTGCCCTAAGATAAGATAGATACTGTGCTGGTAAGTAGAAAATAGACTAATTTTATTTTTATCTGTTATCTTGCAAAAAAAAAAAAAAGGCAAACCAGACAAATTTTAAATTTAAGAAACAGAAACACTGTTAATGCTTGTTATATCAACACACTTTTCATATTCAAAACTACTCCAAGAAGCAAGAATTAACTCCTTTTCAAAGACGAGACTATTGAAATTATCTAGTGACCAAATCATACAGTGAGAAACAGTCAGAATTAGAATCCAGATCTTGAAAGTCCATGTTTAAAAGTTTTTTTAAAATGTGTTTCATTAGCCAGGATATTATCTACAATGACCAAATCATATAGTAAGAAACACCGCCAGAATCAGAATCCAGACCTTACTTGAAAGCCCATGGTTTAAAAGTTTAAAATTGTGTCCCGTTGGCCGGGTGTGGTGGCTCATGCCTATAATCCCAGCACTTTGGGAGGCTAAGGTGAGAAGACTGTTTGAATCCAGGAGTTTGAGACCAGCCTAGGCAACATAATGAGACATCATCTTTAAAAAAAGAAAAAAAGTGTCCCATTATGAGTGTAATAACTGCTTATTAGAGAATATGTGGAAAAGTAGTAGGAAGGGAGAAAATGAATTCATGATCCTAACTCCCAGTGGCCAGATCAACATTCTGGTACACTCTTTCCAGTCTTTCAGCTGTATACAATTTTTTAACATATGAACATATGGCATATCAAAATGGATGCATCAATATTTTTAAACTTCACATCTGATTTTAAAAGGAAAGCAAATACATTTTAGAAAATTTGGAAAATGTTGAAATATATGAATGAAATTAAAATTGTCTAGAATTCCATTATCCAAAAACAACCACAGTTAATATTTTTATATAGTCCCTAAGCCTTTTTTTATTAATTTTCTTTTTATGTAGTTAAGTTTATAACGTACAAGAATTTTAAGTATAGTTAACAAAGGTTTAAGTGGATGGTGACCCAGAGGGGCTTGGTGACACCCTTTGCCACTCAAATTATTCAGTAGGTCTCAAAGGGACAGAAAATAATATTCACATTTCCTTGCTCAATCATAAACACAACAAATATCTGCAAGTCTTAAAGTCTGTGCTAATTTTCTACTAAAGTGAAACCTGATATGATTTCCATCCCTTCCTTCAATCCAAGTGAGTGTCAACCATTTATATAAGAATACTCCATACATAACACTTTCAATACCACATTAAAGCCCCACTAGGGGAGGGAAGATAACAGCTGTGATCTGATTAAAAGTTTTTAATATCTCACAATGAAAAATATATAATGGGCCTTCAACATTTTGCATACTTAAATTTACATAAGAGAGGCTTAGAAAATAAAGCATGATTGATAATGTCTCAAAGAAGTTCTAAATGGTATAACAAATTTGGTCTTATTAAAGTTCCAAAGAATTTATTATCAAAATTTAAAACTTCAGTCGTACATAATGTAATAAACCTTTACAATAGCTGCTAAGGGAAAGCGGCGGTGTAATTTACACACATTACTGAAGGCAAAAAGTTAAGAGCAGATGCTAACTCCAGTTGGAATGTTGACCAGTTCATGCAGCTTCCTCCTCACCTAAACACTCATGACACATTGAATGAACTGTAAGAGAGAAAAGTCAGTGTCACACTATAGACATCAAAATACTCTGTATGCCACAGCCTATCTTTAGGCAGCTTACATTTTGGTTTTCTTATTTACGTTGTGGGCAATACTCCCTCCCACACAATTTTGTAAGATATAAATAAATAATGGAAAAAGAGAGATAACTTTTCTTAGGGAAGCAGTCTAATATAAAATCCAGTGGGTTTCTCACATCAAAAATTTTTATAGGAAATAGGTTTTCTCCAACAGATAAAGAATTACTTAAATTCCAAATATCTAAGACTCAGGGCAACCCCTTCAGATTCCCTCCCACTGTGGGAGCTTCTTCTGTCCTCTCAATAAATCCTACTTCTCACTAAAAAATAAGTATATAGATAGATATAGATATAGTCTTATATATATACTGTTTCTAAAGTCATATATATATATATATATAAATCCTTATATATATATAAGGAATTTACCCACAAATAGAAATAGCTGAAGTTTATATTGTTCTATCACGTAGGGACTTCCAAACTGCATAGTGCCACTCTGCTACTCTAATGGAGCACCTTTAAACAGTTTATTCCCTTAAAATCTACTTTATTAAAGTAAGTCCTAGAATGCAAATAAATATATGTATGCACAGAAACAGAACAGCTGACCCTTTTACAACAATTCAGAAACCTGAGATTAGAAGCAGAATTTGCTATGAAATGTTGGCTTCCCTGCTAACAAAATAGCAACAGACTCTCTGCTCTTTCTATCTTGCTTTTTTACTCTCACAAACTGGTAGGGTACTGTGTGTTGTGGAAAATCCTTGCAGTTTTCCACAAGGCCAAGCTGATTACTCCTATTTTAGAGAAGAGGAAACTAAGTATCAAAATGTTTAGAAATCTTTTAAGTGGCTGACAAGGCCAAACCCCATTTTCTTTCCATCCCCAGGCAGCCTCTGGATTGTTGGAAACAGTGACAGGCCTGTAACTGAGAAGCTGATGAACACTACAGAAAACACATCCTTAAGCAGAACAAGCATTTTTACACACTCTTATTGAGCTTTTAAAAATGTAGTCATAACTGAGGCAGCTGCTACACCAAAAATATAAGCCTATGCCATCTTTATATTTTGTAATGGAAAAACGTTTTAGAACATTCAGTGATTTCCATCCTAAAAGTGATTTTTTAAAATCAATGGCTGGGCAAAAACTGAAGAAACAACTAGACAGCTCACTGGCTTTGTTAGGTATAGTCAACTAATGGCATCAAAGGTGGTACTTGGTTATGTTCACACTGGTTATGTGACCTTACCCTCCCTCATTTAGTACAGTTGTTTGGTAATAAACTTGTTTGAAACTGTGCCTTAAGGCTGCACGCGGTGGGTCATGCCTGTAATCCCAGCACTTAGGGAGGCCGAGGCAGGAAGACTGCTTGAGCCCAGGAGTTCTGAGATCAGCCTGGGCAACACAGTGAGTCTACAAAAAATTAGCCAGGCAGAGTGGTACAGGCCTGTAGTCCCAGTTACTCAGATAACCGAGGAGGAAGGATCGCCTGAGCCCAGAAGGTTGAGGCTGTGGTGAACCGTGACTGTACCCCTACACTCCAGCTACTTCTCAGTGACTGAGATGACTTATTTATGGAAGGCAAAAGCAGACACACTATCTGCGTGAGGTTTTCTGAGGACATTTGTGATGGAAATCCTACAACAGCCCAGTGAGGAAGGCATTATTACTACTATTTTATTCAAACAGTCTTACAGCAATTAAGAAACCTGCTAAAGTACCAGCTAATAAATGCAACAAGCTGAGCCTTGGACCAAGGTCTCTGAAAGGAAATCAAACAGTAGTCTATAGATAAGATTAATAAATATAATTAATAAATTCTGGATGAAAACTCCTGATAGTTTAATCCCTGATTTCTCTGGCATCTTTAAAATGTTTTTAGTAGCTAATTTCAAAAGGAATACCCATCTGGTATACATCTTACTCATCCACTTAGCTCTTAATTTCTAAGACTTACATCATCATATGGAAAATTCACAACACCTTGCTGGGCAGTATCCCGTCTTCGAAAACTGTCTGTAAAAAACAGTAAAGTTTAAAGTTTTTCTTTAAATGCTTTTTCCAAAACCACAAAAGTTATTATGGCATTGGGTTCAAACTGTAGTACCATTTAAACTGTATAACTAGTTATCATACACAAAAGACCATAGCAAATAGTAAAATATTTAATATAAAGTAAAGTAGTATAACAGGCAGAAGCTGGTTGTCTTTTTCAATGTGGAGCTGAAAGGAAATGGCTTATACCAAGGGCAGTAAAAGCTGTGCACCTTCTGAGGCCATTACTGAATTGTGATGAAAGCACAAAATTTCAAACATCTTAATAACACAGATACTGTTTAATTAAGAAAAGGACAGGATCCCTGGTATGACAAATGTGCTGTAATCAAATATCCCCTCCATTTTAGCTCTGCCCTGTTAAAAAGGGTAATTTCACTCTTTTCAAGTATTTCACATTCCAGAGAGAAATCACTCATCATCATAATCTGATAAAAAATGCACAAATTAGCTGATTTATGTCTTGGAATATTTTAGTAAAATTTAATTAAGATTATTTGAATGGCAGACTACTTACCAATTCAAAATAAATTCTGAAAAAAAATTATTCTGCTGATATGCTTAACAGTAATGTTACAAATCTACTAAAGCAGGGAAAAACACTGTGGGGAGAATAAAAGTTCAGAAGCACTGAGAAATGAAGTGTCATAAAAACTGTATCTTCCTGCATGACCTCACAGAACACACCTGTGAGAGCCCTCAGTTTGACGCAGCAGGCAATATAGTCATCAAAGGTGATCTTCCCATTGGTGCTGTATCGCTTTGCAATTGAATTCACGGCCTGGGGACTCAACCTAAATCCTGAAAGGAAGAAAATCATCCAGTAAAAAAGTTAAAGAATTGCCCCCAAAATAAATAAAAAGTCATCAAGTACAATTTTTTAAGACTGTGAACTCATTTTTGTGAACACATACAATTTCTAATTACCCTCCTGTCTGTCCTAGGGTCATCTCTGGCATCTTCCTGGCCATCTAAGAAAATAAAAACTGCCTTCAAGTAGCACTTACTTTTAGAAATAAAAAACAGGCCAGGCTTAGTAGCTCAGCCTGTAATCCCAGCACTGTGGGAGGCTGAGGCAAGTAGACTGCCTGAGCCCATAGGCTTGAGTCCAGCCCAGGTAACTTGTTGAGACGTCAACTCTACAATAAATATAAAATTAGCTGGGCATGGTAGTGTACATCAATAGTTCCAGCTACCTGGAAGGCTGAGGCAGAAGGATCGTTGGAGCCCAGCAGGTTGACATTGGGGTGGCTGTGAGTGTGCCACTGCACTCCAGCCTGGGTGACAGAGTGAGACTCCAACTCAAAAAAAAAAAAAAAAAGGTTAAGAAAAAACAACTAATTTCAACCAATATATAGAGACTTCTAGTTGGTCACACCCACCCATTGTTGTCAGGGCCTTCTGCAATTCTTGAGGATCCACTGTTCCACTCCTGTCGCTGTCAAAGCTGATGAAGTGTTGTCTCCAGCCATTCAGTACAGCCCAGAGTTCTTTAAATTCATTGAAACCCATTGTGCCAGACATATCTCTCTGAACTGTAATCAAGGATCAGAGCTTCTTTATTGTACAACATTTTCTAATGAGGAAATGAAAGATCAAGGATAAGGGGAATTCAATGTTCTTCCCACCAAAATGGTTAAAAAACTAGTTACTGCATATTCTTCTTGGTATGATATAATAAAAACATGAGATTAATGATTTAAAAATATCATTTAAAAAGGTCTGCAGAAAAAAGTTCTACCTATTTTTACTGTGGGAAAAAGATAAGCCATATGATCTGATTACAAGGAAATAACACCACCACTGTGAGCCACATATTAGCAGTGGTCTTATTTCAGGAACTAGGCTACACTTTCTGAGTGCTCTAGCCTATGCTTTTATCCTCCTGTCTGTCCTAGGGTCATCTCTGGCATCTTCCTTTCATTGCTTTGTTTAGTCTTCTCAGATGCAAAGATTTGACTTTTGGAAAATGAAGTGGGAAGGCAGGCACCACATGGTCAGCACCAGTTAAACTGAGTCCAAACAACTAGGATGTGTAAAATCCCATCACTTGCAGAGCCATCAATGTTAAAGAATAAAAAGCTTTTTTGACACTCTGGTTTCTATACTTGTTCTGCCTTAATGCTTCCATGAATTCTTGAACTATCAATGTATTATTTACTAAACTTCTTTCCTTCCTTTTATTACACCAAATTATATCCTAAAAGCTAATTATTTCAGAGAGCTTTCTAGTGCTCATTCATCACTTTGTGTTTACTAGATATAAATTCTTAGATGAATTACTTTAAGAAGGAAGTTTTTGTCAAAAAAAAAAAAAATGCTAGACAACAATCAAGGTGAAGGATACATCCAGCATTGAGACCATAAGCCGACAAGTCTCCAGGTTAAAAGCTGTTAAATCAAGAAAAGTATATGTACATTAATACAACTTCAAAAATTCCCATTACATTGGATACAGTCAAATTAGCCAGGAATATAATTATACACTTTTATTTTTATATGCTACTCAATTTATATGTAACTAAATTATATGGAGTTTCAAAATAAATTTTTTCCAGATAAAGAGGATTCCTTTTAGAACTCAAATTTGACTTTAACAACTTTAATAGAGATTTTTTTAAAAAGCATTGCATAGTACTGTTAATACTTGTTTTTAAAAGTATAATATAATGAGTTCAATCCACCATAAAGAACCATAATGTATTATATCCCCTATCATGGGTGCAAAGGTAGGGTTGCTTTGATCCTATTCAAAAATGACTATAAATATCTGATTTTGCTCATTTTGTGTCAAATTGTTTTTTGTCTTTTCCCTTTAATGTCAGGCACTGAGCTACAACCTCCTACCTCAAATAGTCTATGACCTCTTTGCTTATATATGAACCCAGAAAAATATACTTATTAGAATTTTTGTTAAATAAGAGGTACTCTGGGTAAGACCCGAAGACCGGTTCAGTAGTAGCCACTGTTCACAACCTTTGTAGTTTACCTTCGGTCTGGGAGCATTCTGTGGGCATTTTGGTAGCTCACTTCTGCAACCAAACCAGAACACATCCAATGGTAATTTATCTGAGCAACAGGAAGTTAACAATAAAGAGCCCCTAATATCTTACATGGCCTTAATGGGAATCAATGACTGAAGAAACTGCCTAAGTACAAAGATGCCATAAGGCTAAAAGGCAGAAATTACAAGGGTCATGTGGGAAAAGCTAGTATACATTCTGCAAGTTTGTTAAGAGGCATACAGAACTAAAATTTTTACAGCTCTTTCTAGCTTCATATCTTTTCTCTAACCAAACTTAAAACACAACCGGCTAACTAATTACTGTAATGTTTCCAAACAGTGCAAACTATAGCTTTTTCACATTTACCAGATTCCTGTGTTTGGCATATCCTTTACTGGAAGTCAAATATGGGAGACTATTTCTATTTTGGTCCTTCAGTCTCCATTCGATCCACAGATAATATTCTCGGAGGTGAGAGGAAGAGGCAACACTTTTCTACACTTATAAGAAAGAACTGATCAATTCTTCATTCTCAATTTTAAGTGGTGTAGTAATTACATAGTCTCTCTAATCTAGTCCAGTGGTTCTCAATTCTGGTGCTTATCAGAATCACACAAAAGCTTTATTTTCTCTCTCTCTTTTTTATTTTTAACTCAGGCAACAGCTGGACAGTAAGAAAATCACCCAGAAGCTTGAAATGATCCTGATATCTAGGCTGCACCACAGAACAATTAAATCAGACTCTCCGAGTCTAGGACCTCGGTATCAGTATTTTTTAAAAAGCAGATTTTCAGTGAACAGCCAGGATCGAGACCAGCATTCTCCTCAAAGCCTAATTCCTGGACCAGCCATATTAATATTACTTGGGAGCTTGTTAGAATTGCAGAATCTCAGACCTTAACCTACACTAACAAAATCAGAATCCGAATTTTAACAAAACCCCAGTCATATATTTTCACATTAAAGCAGTTGGTTCAGCGTGGACCAGCATCATGTGGAGACTTGTTATGTGAAATTCTCAGGGCTCACTCCAGACCTCCTGAATAAGGAATTCCAGTGCAAGGCCCAGCAATCTGGTTTTTGCAAGCTTTCCAAGGTCATGCTGATGCCGCTCAAGTTTAGGAATGGCTGCTCTGGCTGCCTTGACAACCACAGGACAGTGCCAATCATGTTTGGCTCACATCCCTGTTTTTAGGGGCCTTGAGGCAGACGGCATCTCTGTCTCCCAGTTTTATGGATGGCACCACATTCACTCAGCAGTCACCTAAAGCAGAAATTTGGTAGTATCCCCAGTTCCCTCTCCCAGATAATCAATCCATCTTCTAAGCAACTTTAGGGTCCATTTTTACTATTACGTCCTTGGTTTAGTTAGCATTTCTCTCCCTTTTATGACTTCACTTGTCCTGATGGGTATCCTTGACCCCTGCTTTATACTCATATCCCCCATTTAATCTTTATCTTGCAGTCAGGGGTGGCTATGTTAAACCAGTAATGGCATTCCACTGCTTTCTGGATACAGTTCAAACACCTTGACTGGCATGTAAGGCCACATACTTATTTTCCTAGTCAAGTTACTTTCTTACTCTCATTCAGCCCCCTACACTATCTTTATGGGGGAATTTCTCAGTTCTTGGATTGCCCATGCTCTGGTCTTTTGAACATGCTGCTCTATCTGCCTAAAACACCAGTTCCCCATCCCACCCACTTCTTGGTCAGCCTCATTTCTGCTTGACTTTCACTTCTCCTCAGTGTAGGTATCAATTCTGCAAGGAAAACTTTCCTGACTCCTGTCTGGGTTGTGTGCCAGTCCTATGTGATCCTACCACCTTTATCCTTACTTATCCAGTGTTTTTCACAACACCTAGGCATTGCTTGTGGCTGCACACCTAGTACCTAGCACACAGGAAGCATCCATTAAAAATGCATTGGTTGGACAAGTGAATGTGAGGATAAGAATGAATTCTCAGCCCTACAAAAAAAGCAGTCTATATTTATCCCCCTTTCAGTTCAAGAAGGAATGTGTTTCTTGAATAAAATCTAATTTTTACTGATACTTAAAAAGTAATGCATAGTTTTACCAATGAGGGTATAGGGCTATAATTTTTCCATATTTAGAAAATTTTCCATATTTAATCAATAGCCACCTGTTAAGTATTACTATGTGTAGGGCTCAGGGGACCAAGAACTTTGGAGAACAAAAGTGAAACTGACTACTTCCCAAACAGGGGAAAAGAAGTCACAGACACACACAACTCCAATCAAGGTGGAGAGTGGTAAGTCATAATGGGGGAACCAGAGAGTACCAGGAGGTACTGGGGAGTAAGAAGCTCCTTCCTAGTAAGAGAATCAGGAAAGATTTCATAGAAGAGGTAGGAATTAAGCTATGCCTTGAATAACAGGAACGATGGGGGATCTGTGACAGCCAAGGACTGGCATAAGCAAAGAGAGAAGCAGGAAGTCCAGGGCAGGCAAAGCACATGTGGACAAGCTCAACATGACTTTTAAGGGCATAGAGGGAGTGGGGAAATGTGGCTGGCTAGGCAAGGCTGCACTGCAGAGTATCCTGAATTCCTTCTAAGCTGTCAGCCTTTGTATTATGGGCACCAAGAATCCAGTAATGATTGTTTGAGGAGGAGAGTGACAGGTTAGAGCTGTGAGTAAGGAAGAACAGGATCTGGTCATCTTTTGTGAGAAGCATCTGAAAGGGGGGAAATGAAGAGGGCAGTGAACAAAAGTGAACATACTAAGAAATTACCATTCCAGACAGTTCTAATGAACTAGAACAGCGAAGTCTATTAAGTACATGGGTGAGGAAAAAACTCATGTTCAATTTTGTTAACTCTACTTTTCCTCCAAAAATACTTTGATTAGTGCTAAGTCTATTTAAAGTCATTTCAAAGGAATTTTTGCTGTATCTTTCTCCTCTCTTCTGCTCATTCTCCTAGAATGCCTCAAACATATTTTCTTCTAGTAGAAACATACAACAAATGCAGCAGGAAAACTCTACCTCCAGTTGTTTCTCTCAAACTTACCACAGAGCAATTAAACCCAAGGTAAAAAAGAGAAGCTGAATTACTGTCTTAAAGACTAGAGCAACTTCCCTCATCAACCCTACCTCCAGGTAGAAATGCCTCCTTTTAAACTGCTTAAGAAGGGGCCCGTGGGTACTGAGCTATCCCACTTGCCCACCCACTCTGGATCTGTGCTTTTTATTTGCAAGCTGGTTTTAAAAGACCAATGACTGCATAATTTCTGTATTATGAAACGCTGGCACCTCACAAGCACATTGGTTCTGTGGCTCATTATAGCCACCAGAGGATCAATTCAATCACATCCCCCCTCCACTGATCTAAGGCCATCCCTAAATGTGGCTTTTTAAATTTTTTTGAGTCAGGGTCTAACTCTGTCACTCAGGCTAGAGTGCAGTGGCACAATCACAGCTTATCGAAGCTTCAACCTCCTGGGCTCAGGTGATCCTTCCACCTTCCGAGTAGCCAGGACTACAGGTGTGCACCACCATGCCCAGCTAACCATTTTGACTTGTTGTAGAGATAAGGTCTCTACAAAGGTCTTTGAGACCCAGACTGGTCTCAAACTCCTGGGCTCAGGCAGTCCTCTGGCCTCAGCTTCCCAAAGCGCTGTGACCACATGCACGCACCACTTGCCCAGCTAATTGGTTTTTTTTTACTATTTTGTGGAGACATCTCACTATGTTGCCCAGGCTGGTATTGAAAACCTAGGCTCAAACAATCCTCCTACCTTGGCTTCCCAAAGTGCTGGGATTATAGGCGTGAGCCACTGCACCCAGCCAAATGTGGCTTTTTCAAATGGAATTTTTAAAAGAACTGCTAAGAATATGCAATCCACTTCGTTGCTCAGATTTTAAAACTTGCCACATCTCTTCTACTGAAAGACTGTAGAATAATTGTCTATGTTGAGGTGATTTGACATCACCTCACTCTGGTAAACCCTGCTATTAGACATTCTTGTTCACTAGCTCAACTGCTTGAGGATAACAATGAACAATTTTAATGTATTGCCTACAACAGAAAAATAAAATAAAATAAAGGAAAAAAAAAGAAAAATCCCCTAATCTAGAAAGCACTCCTTTTGTTTAGGACCAGAATAAATAATAGAAACTTGAAAGGTTCTTTTTTTGTAAATAATTCCTACAATTAGGAAACAGTAACAGGATACTAAGATCACAAAAAACAAGGGATGATTAAAAAAAAGAAACACAAATAGTTCAGTCATCTAATAAATATGCCACATTGAACTGTCAAAAAATGTCACTATAAATCCTCAGGTGTGAATTCTAGTTTAAGCATTTTAATCCACAGCTTACCATGAAACTCAGTCTTCAATTTGATGTTTTGTCCCAATTAAAACTGGCAAAGAAGCTGGCATGGAACACATCTGAGCTAAGGCACTATTCTCTACCCTGGAAATCTGTCATGATCAAGATCTGATTTGAAGAGAAAGTATGTGGAGTGTGTGGGCTGGTGAGATGTCCCAGCTGGCATGCAGTGTCTTTACAACATTTCACCACCTGCAGCTTGAAGCAGAGAGCTCAAAAGGCAGGAAGGTGGGGCAAGCGCCGGATTACAGGGCTGAAGGTCCAGTGTGTAAGGAACTGAGGAGGAGAGGGATGAGAACAACTATTGTAAGTTCAAAAAGTAGAAAGGGCACTTCCTACTTAGCCTGAACACATTCTCTGAAGCAGAAAGAGGAAAGACCTGTAGGATGTCAAGGTAACTATTCACAATGTCAGGAGCATGCCCCCAGCTCCAAGACCAGGAGTGCAGGATGGGCCACTTGGGGACTACTAGTGCCAGGACAAGCCACTCCAAGCTCTAAGTGCCAGGCTTGGGGCAGAGTAGGCTCTTGGTAAATAACAGTAAAAGTTAACTCCTATCATGAACGACACCTGACCTGGTAGATTTCATTTCAGCGCCTTAACCTGTGCTCCATGAATGAGGCCACCCCAACTAACTCACTGTTCAAAATATGCAACACCCAAATTCAAGAAATCCACTAAACTGGCAGGTAAAGTGGAATGATTTATTAAGAACTGTCTTAAAAGCAGCATTTTGAAATGAGAATCTTCTGAAGCTTCTGAAACTAAACTTTGCTGGATCAGGAAAACTCAGTTTCCCTGAAGGCTATGATCATAAGTAACAGCTAAATATAAAGCACTTTATAGAGGAACTCTGGGACTGTCAACTTACGTTTGTATCCTCCTGCAATGCCAGACTGTGTCAGACATCTCTGCAATTCATCAGCATCTATTTGCCCATCCTTTAAAAAAAAACAGGAAAAGGAATCACAATAGTGATTTGTACTTTTAAGCTCTTTGTTTACCTTCATTGTCCAATGAAGCAACGATAATAAAGAAAATGAGTGGCATCAAGCATGAGACTTTTTTTTTTTTAAAGAGGATCCCTTGCAAAAGTGGGTATTCTTTTCCTTATCCTACTTCTAAAAATAAGTCAATAATGACAGTGAGAGTCTGTCTTGGCAACTATACTTCTTCAGTCCGAGCTAGGAAACTATCAAAGTTAAGCCTTTTAAAATAAAATTATTTATGGAGTTGCTAAAACATGGTATTCCTTTTTCTACTTTTTCTTCTTTTTTGAGGGGGAGGGAGAGAGCAGGGTACACAGCAGACATCAGTAAATAGGAAGCTTGGTTCAAACAGAAAAAGGACTCACTGGTCACCTTTTCTTAAGATATGGTGAATGTTTTTTTTCAGAGCACAAATGTCTGGAAGGTATAGGTCAGGTTCCCAGTACCCACTCATTGGGCGAACTGGATAAGAACTAGATATGTTATTTTTAGGGATTTTAAAATAAAATACCCAAGTCAATGGTAGTATAAATTATAAATGAGGAGCCAGATCAATAATCTGAAAGACAATGGGTATGCTAAATACAAGCCAGGGCTGCTGAAAGCTAAGCAGGTGGGGTCACTTACACACTGGAGGCACCAGCAATCCAAGAATGCTAGTCTTAAGGTTTCAAAGATACAGATCATTAACAGATTAAGCAGATACTTAAGTGGGAAGGTCTTCCAGTTTTAGACTCAATTTTCCATTCAGTTTCTCAAGCTATAGTTCTTACACTGCTACCTTAGGTTTTTATCCCATACGATTCCAGTTTTCACATTAAGATTTTGCTATTTCTAGCTTTTGATCAAAACAAGTTGAATTCACAAAGTTCCCCTCTGGATATGTCTGGGTTATTTACTACACACGGTGACCTCATGAGCTAGGAATGTATTCTCCCTCAGGTGAGACAGCACTTGTCCTACAACTCAGAATGTGGACAAGTAAAAGGTCTTGGGGAGCTGGCCTTAATGGTTTCTTTGGGTCAACGGGCCACAACACTTAATAAGGACATGGAAGAGCTGACCTAGTAACAGTACCTACATAAAAGAGAAACTAAACTGTTTACAAGATTAACTCCTTGATACTAAAAAGAGAATAGTAACTTTCTTATTTAGAAGCTGGTGGGGGTTTGCCATACACACCTATTTCTTAGGGGAGTAAATGATTAACAAATTCAACCCAGAAAGCGTTCATTAGAATCTGGCTACATAATTACTAATACATGTCTTTAAGATATAAAAACAGGGGCTTATGTTCACCAGATTTTGAATTTCTTCTCTTGAAAGCACCCTGGACCCTGACAATTCACAGTTCTAAAGACATCTTTTCAGCCTACAGACCTTCAAAGTATACTGATAACCCTCTATTTTGTTCAGTCTGACCCTAATTCAATCACAAGTTTTGTTTCAAACTGAACTCACATATATAAAAGCAACAATGTCTTAATTTGTTCAGAACATTCAGAAATAAAAAAACTAAAGTAAGAAATAAAGAACCCTCGGTTCTTTTTTCTCTTTTGCAGAACCAAAGAGACTTAGTTCCAGAGAAAAGTTCGTTTGGGGGCCATTATATCAAAAACGAACACAAATGCAGAGTATGACAATTCTGTAATATTAAAGGGAAAAAGCTAACCTGTCCGGCTACAGCAGCAAAGTAGCCATACAGCGGATCTTGTGTCTGTCCGGGAAACGCGGGCCCTCCAGGAGCCCCTCCATACTGTGAAGCAAGAAACAAGCACATCATTCTGCTGACTTCAGTTTGCTTTTTCACCACTGAGGGCTTTGTACAAAGCCAGATAACTGCCTGCCTCCCCACCAGGCAGTCTCTGTCCCCACCCCACCCTTTTCTTTCATTCTCATCCCCTAATTTAAAAACTGGCGACCTGGACCACAACGAGTTGTCATAAAAGTTGTATCTGCACATACGAAGGAACTTTAAAATCCCTTTGAACCTGCAGGTTAACAGGATGCAAGCTCGGCAAGCAACTTAAGGGCAGGACTTGAAACCGTTGTCCTTTTGTTTCTATAGCTTTTTATGGTGTTTTAAAAGTGTCTGAAGTACCAGGTAGGGCTGGAGTTGGTGTGAAATACTGAAGCAGGTGTAGCCTAGGGTGGTGGGGAACACTGCTCAGAAACAGTTTCCACGACGACGCGCTTCCCACACGCTCGGCGGGGCGGCCTTCCTGCAGGGCTTGTACTCTAGCGGATTTTCCGACTTTTCCCCCCCTCTTGATTTTTCTTTTTTTTTTTTTAAGGGAGGAAGGTAGATCGCAGAACCATTCTAGAATAAAATGCCCACTATGGCTTTGGGAGGAAATCGAGAGAGTCAGGGAGGAAGCCACCACCACTTGGAAGTTCCACGCCGCGGATCTGGGTGGGCTCCGTGGGTCCCCAGGTACCCGCGCCTGGGCCCGGCGGACCCCGCGGAAGGCGCAGGGGTGGGGGAGGCGAGGACACAGGCCGTGCCGCCGGGGCCTGGAGCGAGGCCGCGAGCGCGCCAGAGGA